GTGACACAATGTAATGATGAAACAGCCATGCTAACAGCTTTGGAGCACAGCTGGAGGCTTCGTGCTAATGTCATAAAGTAACGTGGTGGGGAAATGGTGCTAATGTCATATCAGGCTTGTTTTCAACACTTTAAGAAGTGGTGGAATATGAGATTCACATCATACATGTGTTCTGTTGACATCTGTAGCTGATGCTGTCATATCAAAATCTCTGAGGAATGTTTACAGTCTCTACAAAATCTTTAATCTGTGCATTTAAAAAAGAAAAGAAAATAATGGAATTGGTAAATATTCTTGAAAATGAATTTAATCTTAAGTTTTTTTTGATAGTTTTATTTGTTTGTCATTGCATCGTTTAAACTTATTTAGAGGTGGCAAAAGTACAGACTTTCTTTACTTAAGTAGAAGTACTGATACAGGTGTTAAAACATACTCCAGTAAAAGTTAAAGTACTGAAGCAACGTTTTTACTCAAAAGTGAAAATGCACAGTAAAACTAAAAAGTAGCTCCTTTAAGGACAATTCTACGAGCCATTTTCTTTGTTTTGCTATATTAATATATTTAAAAAATAATATGAATACATGAGCATACAAATGTTATTCAAATCTAAATTGTAATTGTAGTGGATGTACTCAGCTTGAATCTGTTATCTAGGACAGACGCAGTGAAAATAACTATTTTCTGTTCCCTACATTGTAGAGGCTGACTTTGCTTCCACACCTAAACAGTAAAGTGAGCACAGTCAAGGGTTACAGTGGGATTCAGCAGATGGGGGAACCCTAAGATCTGTGTAGTTGATCAGCACAGGGAAAAGAATCACAACTCACAATAATTTCTAATATGAGCTTCGGAGAAGTTTCTTTATATACAGGCTGTGATCAGCAGCCCTTCTGCTCTTTGTGGAGTCACACAAGTGAATTCAACAAGATGTCAACAGATGTTTCACAGATGTCTTTGCTTAGCTCCATTTCCTACACTGACACTATACACTTTATACCTATTTTAATACTAGACGGTTGATATAAAGTCAGAATTCAATGAATGTATCTAAGCATAATCAGCTTAAATGCAAATTAATCTCTGCAACACTAGATTTGCAGGTTATCAAGCGTCACTGAGTCCTTACCTGTAAACCTAACCTCTCCTGTCCTGTCCTCTTACATCTTTCTCCATCTCTGAGTGAAGTTTGCTCTTTTTCTTTTCTCTGCCTGTGAAATACAGCAGCTGGACCTTTAGCTAGCAACACACAGTGAGACAAACTGAACACAGACAGTTTGTGTGTTTGCTGATGTTTGTTGAACTGATAGAAATGTTGCACTTCTGCCACTTAAAAAAACCCTCGTTCCCCTTTTTCTTCCTCGCTAGCTATTTTTTGACTTTGTTACTTCCCACCTCTTAAATTAACTGATCTAAAAACAGGTTTAATCGGGTTTAGAAGAGAAATGAAGAAAAAAAAAACTCGATAAATCTTGCTGTGTTCCTCACAGGTGAAATGTCCCGTCCTCCTTCTGCACAGCCAGGATATTGACTGCTTTGTAAGGGCCCTCCACTACTTCTGTTTGCCTAAATTATGTCTTCATGCCTCACACTGGTCCATATTCAGAAGTAGAGACAGAGAAATAGAGTGACAGTTTCCCTGCAGGGATTAGAGATAAGAAGAACAGAAGCTAGGTATTAGTTTCTCTGGTGTCTCATTTCTTTCATATATTTTGTCGAGCATTTGAATAAAATGTGTTTATGTTCAAGTGCACAAGAAAAATGACAATTGTTAAATATTCAAAAAACATAAAGGGAAGAAAAAGACAAAAGGTGCAGTTAGGCTTAGGTCATAAAGACTTGACTCCATCCTGTGTGAGAATGAGCCTGAAAGAGTGTGACTGTAGCACTTGTTCATTGTGTTAGATTGAGGGACTAAAGTTAAATAAACCGCAAGTAATCCAAAATGAATCTGTGTCAGCGCCAGCTTTCAGCCAACCTCAGCCCTCCTGTGATCAAATAAAGAAAATGAATTTTATAATCACACTAACAATCAGCATTCATTGTTGTTTGTTAGTGTTTGTTCACTTGCTGAAGCTTTAAAAATAGTTCTGTAACAGTAATATCAATATGGACTTGGGAAGTTGCTTATTTTGACCAAGATTGCAACATTTTAAGAGCAGAGAATCTGACACGTGTCAGCATTTAGACAACGGGAAATTCAAGTTCTACTTTTTTTTCTGCATGATGGGAAAGTTTTAATGTGGACTTCCACAAAAATTTGTTGTGGTCAGTAAAAGCAGAGCACTGCTGCGGAAAGATGCTGTTAGGGAAATACAGCTTCCTCCACAAAAACTGCTTATTAACCTTTATAATGGTTTGACTGAACTGCACTTAAACTCTGCTGCTATGTTTTAGGTGTGGTACGTCTTTCCAGATGTGCAAGATGTCAATTCCATATGCATTGATGCATCCACATAGCGTCAGAGATGCAGAGTTTTGCACTGGGAATAATAAGAAGCTGGATAGTCTCTCATCTTCAGTGGAGAGGGCAGAGGATCCAAGTTTTTCAAAAAGAATTGCAAATGTTGTTTTGTCTTACGTCAGAACAGTTTTCCAATTTGCCTCAGTTCATATTAATTAAAAATAAAAATAAAATAATGGTTTGTGGCATTTGCAGATCACTGCATTCTGCTTATATTTACATTTTACATGCTTTTCAGCTACTGGAGACAAACTGAAGGCAGAGACTCACAACCAGTAAGCAGCTGACGGTAGCTTGCACCAAAGGCGAAGCAGAGCAAATGGTGATGTCAACGTGTTCTACCCTTCCAGCAATCACTGACTGAAAACTTTCATACAAGTATTAAAAACAATCTTTATTATAACAAAAAATATATTTTTTTCCAATTTCTTTTGAAAATGGGCAATTTGGATAAAAACGACTGTAAGTGATACTTTTATTCAAGCCTTGAATTAAAGCTGAAACTCTACGCTTGCCTTATTTGATTTTAAATCCATTGCGGTGGTGCACAGAGGCAAAATTACAACACAAAATGTGTCATTGCCCAAAAATCTTGTGCAACTGATTATATAATCACTTTTGTTTGAGTTTTTCACATATACATAACTTGTGTCAGTTACAGGTTTTGGTACTTATGATAACTTTGAAACATTCCAGTGAACAAAAACAAAAAGATCATTTTGCCTTTTTTAAATCTTTATTGTATATAAAACCATTATGACCTGTAATAGACCACTCACTTACCTCTCGTTAGTTTTTATGTCAACCTCCACTAGAGTACACGCATTCATGGAGGGAAAGAAAACTTCAAAAGAAAGAAAAGAACAATTCCTGAAACATTCAAACTAAATTAGCACAATACTGAAAGATATATGAGTAATATGCAGAAACCCAAATTATGTAAAGAGCTAAGCATTTTTTAGCACATTTATATGACAAGTTAAGAGAAAGATTTTAAAAGGATTTCAGAAATACAAGGGCAAGTTTTAAAAGATTCTAAAATGATCCATATGCACCCTTCTGTACTTTGTTTTTACTGTCAAATGAAGGGAATTCTTGAGAAAATTGAGTTTTTAAAAAAGATTGACCAAATTACATTCAAAATACGACATGCTGTCTTTGATAATACTCTTAAAATATCATACTACAATATAATAATCTTAAAATATATTTGTAGCATAAAGTCCCTGACATTGTAGCGCTTAGAAAATGTAAAATATGTGTTTGTACAATCAAAATTGTAAGTATAAACCCTTTTATAGATTGTCTTTATTATCAGTTTCAGATGTTTTCATCGCTGTTCTCAGACTTTGCCAGAACGCTGGAATGTGATCTTCGTCGTGAGGCGACTCCAGGTACGTCCTGGAGTTCATCGCTTTCCGCAACCTGATTTTGACAAAGTTCTGTCAGAACGGCAGTTCCGGCTGCTCGACTGCTGGCATCACATTTGCCTCCACCCAGATCACCTTCGTTTAACCCCACAACGCTGAACTTATAACACAGACCTGCAATGAGCACACACAGCACCAGGATGCCTAAGCAGAGCAAAGAAATCGCTAAAGCTGTGTGGCACT